AAAAAAAAAACAGTAACCAAAAATGAGCTCTTTAGCATACAGAGAGCAGTTACCTGAAGTGTTAGATTATTATTAGATGTGAAGGCTTGCACGCTTCAGAGGTAAGAGTACGCAGGCTGCACTGCAAAAGTCTCTCCAGGCAAACAGATGTAACCTTCCTTTTTAATTACCAGACACAAGAGAATGAAAGAGCGAGCAGTGCTTTCTAATAAAGAAACAATTATCTGATCAGTCAAAAAAGAGCAGGCAAGATTGTAAAGGAGATGAATTAAGACGTGCTTAATCAACAAAACAGCTGTTCTCTTGCATTGCGTACTGGACTGGCTCTCTCTATACTGTAGGTTTGCACACACGCGTCTACTGTAGTGCACATATTGTGTCTGCGAGGGTGATTTATCTTGGCGGTGGAGACATGCAGCACCAGCCCAGTGAGAGCTGAAGTGCTCACGCAAGCACAAGCCGCACACTACTGATAGATAGATCCACTACACTGCATCGCCACTTATTTCACATGTGCTGGCTGCCTATCAAAATCCTTTGATTAGTGGCATTGTAATTTTAGTATAATTGAGATTGTATTATAGTTTTTAATTCACATTTTGAATGATTTTATTTTTATATTTTTGTTTTCATTTTAAATTTTAGTTAAGTTTATGTAATTGTTGTCATTTTTTTTATATGTCTATGTATTAGTATTTGTGACCCTGGACCACAAAAGCAGTCTTAAGTCACTTGGGTATATTTTTAGCAACAGCCAAAAAAACATTGTATGGGTCAAAATTATCGATTTTTCTTTTATGCCAAAAATCATTAGGATATTAAGTAAAGATTATGTTCCATGAAGATATTTTGTAAATTTCCTACCGTAAATATATCAAAACTTCATTTTTGATTAGTAATATGCATTGCTAAGAACTTAATTTGGACAACTTTAAAGGCGATTTTCTCAATATTTAGATTTTTTATCTCGGCAATATTGTCCTATCCTAACAAACCATACATCAATGGAAAGCTTATTCATTCAGCTTTCAGATCATGTATAAATCTCAATTTAAAAAAATTGACCCTTATGACTGGTTTTGTGGTCCAGGGTCACATTTGTATTTCAGTTTGTATTTGTATTCATGGTTTCTGCAGGTTTCATGAAGGCAAATTTAAGACTTTAAGACCTTTTTAAGGCCAAGTAAAGAAAATGTAAGGAATACATTTAAGGGAAACGTCAATATGTTCTCTAAACGTAAATTTGGGGGGAATTCCTTGGGATAAATGTAGTTACTTGGGCGAAACCACAATGAGTGAATGACTTAAAAATTCGAAAATACAACTTCCTTCTGATTTAATATGAAATATTAAATGGCTCTGCTCCCAACCACTGGAATACAGAAATAAATTTGGAAATATGGAAATGACTGTATCTTCTGATCACACTGCAAAAAAGTGACATTCTTCCTCAGTATTTTTGTCTTGTTTTCCAGTGCAAATGTCTAAAGATTCTTAATTCATGATGCATTTATTTGAGAAGCAAAATGACAAGTTTTGTGTTCTGTGAAACTGATCAAAATACAGCGAGTTTATGAATAAAAATAACAAATATCCACTAATGTACTTAGGAAATCAACTCAAATCAAAATAAGTTTTCATACCCCCAATTCAATTGATCTGAAAATGACTTCATGTGTTCAATTTGCATTTCAAGTAAATGTATCTTGATTTAAAGATGTTCAGATATTTGTATTGGAAAACAAGACAAAAATACTGAGGAAGATTTTTAGCAATGCCTATAAGACTTAATGCCATTATGAAAACACAACATCATGTTTTTTACAATCTGTTTTTGCTAAAAACTCTAAATGCTAAAAAAAAATTTAAAGTGTTTCAAAATCAAGAGAAAAATATAGTTTGCATTAAGAAAAAGGCTGTAATACAAAGATCTGATGAAGAAACATACTAGAAACCCTTTGTGTTAGTGTGAGAATGGAGGAAGCATTACAAAATAATGTTCTTTTTAGCAGCATCATATGACCCCTTTAAGCTACGTATGCTAGACTGCAGTCTTCTGAGTTAAAATCATTGTGTCAAAGAGTCCTTCAGATTTAGAAGGCAGAAGTAGGTGACGGAACGCAGAAGGATGCATTTGCTCAAGCAATTTTAAATGAAGCAGCTATTGCATAACCAACACTTTCTCCTTCACCCCTGGTTCCTGAATAGCTGGTTTTCTTCGGAAGCCCGAGAAACAATGGATTCCAGGCAGGCGGGAGCGATTTTCCTCTGAAGTCTCCACCATCACAGGGAGAACCAGGGAATGAATTAAGGCCTTTGTACTTGTCCAAGAGGTTTCGGCTGAGACGAATCCAATACTGGAGCGTGGTAACGTGGAAGTGGGCGTAAAGAAGAATGAATGCTATTTAGCATCTGTGACGATCGCTTTGAGTAAAAGAACTGATTCTTCCAATCTAGATTCTTGCGAGGTCACCTAGACTCTTAAAAATAAAAGTTCTTCACTGGCATTCCAAGAAGAACTTTAAAATTCCATGGAACATTCCATTGCATTCCATTCCAAATGTTCTTTATATTGGGAAAAAGGTTCTATAAACTAATAATTTGTTCTTTGCACTAAGAAAAAATTGTTCTTTTAAGAACTGTTTGCTGAAAGGTTCATTTGGGAAGCCAAAATGGTTCTTCCATGGCATCACTGAGAAAACCTTTGGAATATTTATTTTGAAGTGTATAGATGCATTTTATCCATCTGAAATGCATGCAGCTGCACAAACAGAAGGGCTGTCTGGTGGTAAACAGGTCTCAAGCATGGCTTTATACTCCCACACATGAGGCTGGTAATGAAGGCCATCTACACACTCGGAAGTCAGATGACCTTCCACTGCAGTGGCTTTCTGGTCATCAGGCGTGGGCTATTCAGGCACTGATGCAGTTACACAACCTCAGTCTTATGAAGAGGATAAACGTCTGCTTTAGTTCACACATATGGTCCATAGCACCACCATAAACTGGTCTCAATGACACCAGCACCAGATGTGCTACAAAAACAAATAAATAACTGTAAAAGAGCGACTGTTGTGACGTCAGGATCTTTTTATAGCCATTTAATCTGGATGGAGGCTTCCTATTAATTCTATATTTTATATAATAGCCAGGAAAAAGATGTTCTTTATTGGAATTCTCCACAAAGATTCAATCCTCACTGACATATAAACATCTGAGTAACCTACACGTTGATTAGCAGATTCTTGTAAATTTAGATCACCGAATTCCAAAGCCTTAAATATGGACAGTAATCTTACCAACTATCATATTTTTCTCTAATAAGAAAAAAGTACCATGGTAATGTAATGTGTTTTTAGACATGTACCATGGTACGTTTTTGTGGGATTCGATTGGATTCTTTAACGACATTGAAAGGGGTAGTCCACCCAAAAATGAAAATTATTGTGTCTTATTAATGTCACAATATTAATTATTAATTATTAATGTCTCTCCAAACTTCCATGACATAAACTGTCAATAATTTTGTTCACCATTGACTTCCATTGTGTTTTATTTTCCAATGTATTTGTATCTTATTTTTGTATTATAAAATATCACCTTCAATATTACACAGAAGAAAGGATGAATAAATGTAAAAAAAATTATTTTGGGTTGAACTAAAATTAAGTACCATGTAAATACACTGTAAATTTTTTTTATAAGAAAGTCATATCAGTTTTCCTTCTTCAAAAATGTGTTTAATTCTGTGTTATTTTCTTTGCAATGCTTTACTATTACTTTACGTTTTTCAATTTTTGTTTCTTTTTTTCCCCAGTATATAATGTTTTCAAATATGGTTCTATTTAGTGTTACAGTATATTCTAGAGGTCGACTGATGTATCGGTTTTGCCGATTAATCGGCACCGATAGTTGATTGCTGGAACTATCGGTTATCGGCAAAAATCCATGCCGATAGTTTTCCGGGTTGCATCCGTTGCTGGAGCGGCTGAGAAGGGTCTGCTGTCATTATACGGTGCGAGAGCGGCCTCTAGTGGTTGAAATCACTGACAGCACGTGCTATTTGTTTAGACACATGATACTGCACAATGAACAGAGCGGGAAACTTCAGACGCGGATTTATATGCAGCCGACAAAAAATCCTGCCGCGCCACAGAGCGCCATTCACATAGTTTTCCATTAAATTACATTATATTTGTCCCGAATCATTGTTAATGTACATAATGAATTGTGTATTGTGCATTTTCAGTGAAACGTTTGTCTTTCTGTGGCTCTAATAAAGTCTGTATGCTTCATTTATAGAGCTATAATATAGATTGCGCGTTCTCTTTCCGTTTGCTCCGTTTTTTAAACACCAAACCTCAAACTCATCTATGCCTCATTGTTCATTCTTGAAGTAAACTTGTGTCCGTTTGGTGATTAAATAAACTGTTTTAGACCGCTGCTCGAGTTGAACGCGACGCGTCCGGAGTGTGTGTGTGATAAAGTGCAAAAGAGAGTCCATTTGTAACATTAAGATTAATGAAAGCCGTGTAAGTATTGTTCCTTGTTAGAGTGTGTTAATTTCAACATTTACTATTACTATTATTACTACTACTACTACTACTAGTATGGTTCAGTACTGTTTTTTTAATAAAGCACTATTTTAGTTTTTGTTCAGTATCCATTTTAAAAACTATCGGTTAATTAATCGGTATCGGCCAGTGTGGTCCAACATAGCTATCGGTATCGGCAAAATCCACTATCGGTTGACCTCTAGTATATTCCATGGTTTGCCAACCACAATATTTTTAGTAAGGAAATTTCAAGACTATTTAGTCCTTAGCACATTCACATTTATACCAAACAGACCTCTGAAAGTAAGTATAATCAAATCATGTGACCAATCAGGAAGCACTTTCAACCTTTGTTTTTTGTTCGCATCTTTTTTTCTTCATAGATGTTCTACAAAGCACTGTTTCATGATCCGCTGCTGTACTGTAGTGCTTTTGTAGTTTGGCTCTTTAGGACGCGACCAGGTGCCTTGCTGAAATTAAGCAGGTGGAGCGGAGTGTATTTACTAGACGTCAATCTTACCCCTGAGAGGTTGAGGTGTGGTCCGAGAGATCGGATGACGTCTTCAGTGAGGTCTGACTGTTCTGAGTCCCACACAAATCCGATGGTCACGATTTCTGGAGAGTTCATCAGCACGCGCCGGATCTTGATTCTCTGCCCACATTTACTCTGTTGAGGCGATGGAGATAAAACATAACGGTTTGTTATTATGTTCTTTAACACCATGCCAGCGTTTTTTCCATTTCCATGTTGAAAACCATATCTGAGTTATTAAATTTTGAATATTTATGAAGTTATTTAAGACAAAAAAAAAAAAAACTGATTTTAGAAGATATTTTCTTTTAAAAATACTTCAAATCAGTAGTTGAAATAATTTTGGATGATTCTGATTATCATTGAGATACTACTATAGTTTAAATTAATATTTTGAATTAGTCTATATTTTTATATTTACCATTTTCATTTCAAATGTAGTTAAAGTTTAGAAATTTTGTTGTGTTTTTCTTTTTTTTTTTTAAGTGAGCAAAAAATAATGGCTATCATACATTTTAACCATGATTTACAGAAGACACCCACTAAAATGTCAATGTAACAATAGTTCATATAGCAAAAAAATTTGCCAGGCATATATAGAACTACAATCAGATGATATTAAAAGACTCTATAGAAGGATCACAGTGCAGCCCCTAAAATGCTAATTAACTGTAATTTTACATTTTTGTCACTATCCTTAAAACCACTAGGTCTTACCCATCTGTCAACAAGAAGTTATTAATCATTTAAAATATAATAACATTTATTTAAAATTCACTTTTTCTTTTATATATTTTAATAAGTACAGGTCAGAATGTTGTTTCATTTTTACATAAATATATCTGTTCTGCTGAATGATGAAGGGACATTGTTTCACCCATTTTGTTTTCAAAAATTATTTGAAACATTAAAAACAGACATTTTAACTTGCATTTAATATGCTTTTTTATGTATATAAAATCACTTTTTTAAATTTCATTTGATGCAGACCCCAAAACGGGACGTCTCGTCTTTGACCCACTTATAATTTTATGTCTACATCGTTTTCATTAATTATTATTTTAACTTTTTTGTTCTAGTTAGTATATGAAGTTAAACTAATTGAAATGAAGTTAAATTAGAAATGTTGCCCTGCATCTAGCTTAAATAAAATAAGTATTTGTGTATTTTATTTCAAGTAACAGCATGCTTTTATGGTTTTAGCTTCAGTAAACTATAATAACCCTGTTGTGACCAAACATTTTACTACTCCAGAGAGACACATGAATGTTGTGCTGCTTCTGGCAGTGACTATATAGTAGGATGCAACTTCCTACTTTGCCTGTTTAAAAATGCAGAATGTGTTGATATGTGAGAGGAACGTTCCGGTCTCAGGTTTCATCTCGCTCATCTTGTCACATGAAGGTGTTACACTAGCAGAATATCAGATAAGAAGAGTGTGTGCGTTCGTCCTTGAGTGTGCTTGATGACAACACATGACAGAAACAGCTATCATACTAGATGCATGACGGTGTCCTCTCAGGGCTGAAAGTGCTAGTAAATTCCACATTATTAATCAACATGAGCAGCCACCTACCGGACAGTTACGCAGATCTCCAACTGTGCTGGCAGCTTGAAGCAACTCCCCAAACCTTTCATCTCTCCTCTCCAAGACTTGCTGGCTGGAGCGCAGAGAAAGAGGAAGAAAGAGAAACAGAGATAAAAAGCCGTTTTTAATAAGCAAAGCACAGGTATTTTTATCTTTTCAGGTCAATATACCAACATAAACATTTAGGGCTGGGTGATGAAACAATATCATATTGAGTCACGTTAAAATTTAGTTCGACTTTTTTCCTTGAAATTTATAAATCTAACAGTAGAAATAAATGTGACTACAACCAGTCAGTGCTTGTTGCTAATATGCAAAGTCTGTGAACCAATGGCACAGTTTCATCTGATACACAAACTCAAACACATATGATGCCTGCGGTGTTTTTAGCATCTGCATCTCAATATATGAGGACAGGAACTTCATCTCCAGAGCTGCTCTGAGAGTCACTTCAGCAGCTTCACATAGTTTCATCTGAGAAAAACTACTGTCAAAAAAACTGAAGGTAAAACTAAAAGACCTTCATGACAACATGTCAAAATAAAAGTCAGGTTCAACTTGAAGAAATTATGACATAAATATGTTACTATTGTATACTGAAATATAATTCCCAAGTTATACTAATACTAAAACTAATAATAATAATAGTAGTAATTTTTATTAATTTTACAGTTATATAATGCAGTCATGCAGCAACTTATTTGAAAAATGATATATCGCCCAGCCCTATAAACACATCTTGAGTGTCTGGCATGATGGTGCTAGCTTACCAGAGGGCTGTGGTGGACACATAGTGCACAAGCTCAGTGAAGGGTAGCGGGTCGGACGACGCGCCACAGCTCCTACACACAGACTGCAGGGGAAAACACACACACACACACACTAATGTGTCATGAGTGATGAAGTCATGACTGCTATATTATGTAATGCCTTAACTACACTACTGTATGTGATGTAAGAGATGTCTCAACACACATACATTGTGTACAACTTAAGGGTGTAACCAATATAAAAATTCCTTTTAGAGACAAAACAAATAATTATTTCTTGTGTCTAAACAACAAATCTCAAATTGCTTTTTATGATTGTATCTCATTTGTACCAGTTTTGCCTTGGTTTATGTATTATGCAAGATAAATATTTGCTGGACATGTACGATGGTACTCCGACCAACCAAATAAATACTATAGTACATAAATATGGTAGATTGTACCAATATTGTATATCAGTTTGGCGTCAATAAGATTATTTAAGTCTCAAATGCTCACCAAGGCTGCATTTATTTGATCAAATATACAGTAAAAAAAAAATATACAGTAGTTAAAAAAAAAAATTTGCAGAGCTAGAGCAAGCCGAGCATTTGTGGTTAAAAAGTGAATAAATATATATATTTTTTTTTTCAGAAAATGACTGATCGTTTCGCTATATAAGACCCTTATTGCTCGGCTGGGATCGTGTAGAGTCCTTTGAAGCTGCATTGAAACTGCATTTTGGAAGTTCAAATCGCTGGCCACCATTGAAGTCCACTATATGGAGAAAAATCCTGGAATGTTTTCCTCAAAAAACTTCATTTCTTTGCGACTGAAGAAAGCAAGACATGAACATCTTGGATGACATGGGGGTGAGTAAATTATCAGGAAATTTGTATTCTGCAAGTGAACTTATACTTAAATATTATAAATGTCTTTACTGTCACTTTTGATCAATTCAATTCATCCTTGCGTCATAAAGTATTAATTTCACAAAGAAAAAAAAAAAAGTTACCAACCCAAACTTTTCAAGGTTAGTGTATATAATGCATTTACACTACATAGTGTATATCATGTTATTACCATCTAATACCATATTTTATCAGGGTTTTGCTCTCAACTCTCAGAGGAAGCAGCGAGAGGGAATGTAAATGTCTCTGTAGTATTCCCTGTGAGTTTTCCCGACTGATTGAAAACCGCCGTCACAGGACAGCGATCAATTACTCGCATGAGTGCACGTGTAGTATTAAAAAGCTACAATACCTGTTCATAAAGTGCCATAGCAAACTTCTGATGAGTGATACAGGACTTGGACGTGCAGGCATCAGTCTCAGCATCGGGCGCGATGTGCAGGTGAATCCTTTCTAAAATGTTCTCCTATGAAAAATACAAAAGCCTGGCATTTGTATGTGTCATAAGGCATTTTCCACAATTATTTCATGACGTACTCCAAAAGACAAGACTAATAATAACATAAATATATAAATTAGTGCTTGTCTTTCGGTAAAAAAAAAAAAAGTTTACTAATTAATGACACATTTTCTTTAATCATGATTAATCACACCTAACCAAAAAATGTGTAACCATAATTATATTCTAACACTGAATCTCCAAATTAATACAGAAACATAAAAATATATAAAATACATAATATATAAAAATGTGTTATATACAGTGGGTACGGAAAGTATTCAGACTCCCTTAAATTTTTTTAATAAATCTGCAAAGATGTCAACAATTCTGTTTCTTTCTGTCAATATGGGGTGCTGTGTGTACATTAATGAGGAAAAAAAATTAACTTAAATGATTTTAGCAAATGGCTGCAATATAACAAAGAGTGAAAAATTTAAGGGGGTCTGAATACTTTCCGTACCCACTGTATATATATAAAGTGACACTGAATCTCCAATATCTCCAAAATTATTTTGATATAGTTTTATATTATTCGTAATCATAAATATATTCTCACACTGAATCTCCAAATTAATACAGAAACAACATAAAAATATATATAATATATAATATGTAAAAATACATTATATATAAAATATATATTAAAATATTAAACTATATAAAAAAATCCCCCCAAAATTCTCACATTGAATCTCCAAATTAACACAGAAAAAAACAAAGATGGTATATTTTTAAGATTTATTTTTTAACAGCATCTTTTTAGTAAGAACTATGAATACTGTGTAACAACATAACAGTACAATTTGTGCAATCATTTCTAACATTTAACAAAAAGGGAAAATAAATTTGATATGGGGAAAAAGGATGCTGCATTAATTAATTTGTTAAAGCATTAATAGCAGAAATTACATACACACACACACACACACACACACACACACACACAATATATAAATAAACAAAACTTTGTTAACCATTTAATTAATTGTGCTAGAGATTCATAGACATGAAAACAACTATTTTTTGTTTTACATTATCTAACCACATTGGATTTGTTTGTGCTGGTACAATGATACCTTGGCATTAAGTGAATGCACTCTAAGCTTTAGTAATTTTCTCCAAGCCTATTATCTGCTTAAATACACCCTTTCAAACCTGAGAACCGTGGGCACATTCAGTAACACCAACAGCGCTGAGACAATTTGCCATTTTGAAAAGAGGCAAGATTAATTTGATGTTTCTACAGTACAGATTAGCTTATTTTAAACAGCCCTAGCTCAGGGCATCTTGTACAAACAGACAAAAGCATAGGCTGCATCTATCCCAGCGCTGATAAAGAACCTGCATTGACTGAGAGTAGTGTGAACGCATCTGTGCACTCCAGGCTTGCATTGATAGAGATCCTTCATTGATTGTGTTGTTTAAGGGAGCACTGTAAATGGACTTTTACTGAGGTAATGACAGACTCTCCACAGTCCTGCTGTGCTAAACAGAAAATGATTACAGGTCCCAGTGCGAAGCAGGTTTACTGCAATTAGGTAGCCCTAAGAGAAATCCTGCATATACCGAAGGGGTGAACATGCTTACTTCAGCTTCCAAGGCAAGGGTGTGTGATCTGTGCTGTGCATAATGCACATAATGGCAACTGAGCTTAATTTGGAAATCAGTTTTCCATATTATTTCTCTATAAAAGACATCAATAAAAAATTACCACATTAAATTAAGATGGGATATTATCCATGTATGCTTAAGTGACAAATCGTCTAAAATTTGGAGAGGTCACATTGCCAACCAGCAGACTGCAAAATCAAAAAGACTGATAAAATTAATAAGATGTTTATACTGTTTAATTTTCTATTTACATTATATTGCAAGCATTACGGTGCTCTATCAAATGTCTGATATGTTGCATTGATTGTAATGCACTTTTTATTTGTTCACTGTGTTTCCTAAAGAGTGTGATATATATATATATATTTAAACATAAAAACATTTTGTAGCTATATTACCCACCTGAATAACTAAAAATAAAAGAAATAATAACAAATTATATATAAAATTTTACACACACACATTTTTATAATCTAAAATACACAAAAATACAAAAAAGACACTTACGAAGCACTCAGCAGCATCATCCATGAAGCCTAACTGAAAGCGCTGCTCATCCTTAAAGGTTTCGGCTAGGGCATTACGCAGGTTATCTGAGGGTAACGCTCGCTCTCGGCTGTGCTGGAACTGACAGAATATTCCCTGCAAAACGAACATGAAGTGCTTTCAAACTTTTGACTTTAAAACACCCTTTTAAAGGAAGTATTAAATACTGCGTCATGATGTGTTTGGCCATGAGAATACCTTCAAAGCGCAAAAGATGCAGGAGTCGCCCAAGCAGTAGTGGTTTGGAAGCTGACGAAGACTCCGTCTGAAGATATCGAGATGCCAAAGAACCTGCATGGAATAATAGGAAACTCATGCTTATAATTAACTCACCTCAGTAAACTCTAAACAATCTGTAAATAAATCATGTGGATTGTTTGTTTCACTTAATTAAGCAGGTTGCGGCACACATTCAATGACTTATTACTGCTAATCAGCAAAACAGGGTGCAAGTTAGTCTGGCAATACTCTACACGTTTTATTCAGTAAATATATGTTTTGAAATTGTTTTTGTATCAATATATCAATACAAATGAGAGGTGGACCAGTATTGGTTGTTTTACATTTTTTCACATTTATTTAATTATATCACAAGCTTTTGAAGTTTAACAATCACATTAGGTCATAATTCCTGTCCCATCCCAAAATTTAAGACCACTTACAACGATAATTAAGAATTCTGTTATGCTTGATTATATTTCTTTTATATACTTATAACCTTAAATAAAAAAATAAAAAACTAAAAATAATTTCTAAATAAATAAAACAAAAATGTAAGACTTTTTAAGGACCTGCGGGGCACTGTATTTATATACTTTTGCAGTATTTATTTATATTTAGAATTTAATTTTTATATTTTCAGCATTTACTTCAATATTTGATAAGGTTTTAGCAATTTTTTGTGCTTTTGTCTTTTTTTTTTTCATTTTTATACGGTTTTAAATTATTTTATATCGGTTTTAGTAAATTAGTACTTTAAATGTAAATGAGAAATATGTCCTTGGCAACTAACTGAAATAACATCAATTTAAGTTAATATAATGTTTTTTGCTTTACTCTTTTTTTAAATATTTCATTTTTCAGCTTTATTTCAATTAACGAAAATTTTAAGTTAAGAATAAAAACACCAATGCCGTCTAATATTTTACTAAAATAAGGCTCTTACCAAATTTACACAGCAAAGGTGGCACAAAAGCGCTTCTGAATTGCCATTTAGTCTTTGCACAGTCTGTTTAATGCTGCTCAGAGGTGCCATAAATGCATTTTACGCAGCAATTACACCTTTATACATTTAGGCGTCTTTACACAGCTGATTTAAGGCTGCTGTGTGCCTGCTTAAAATTTAGCATAAGGATGCAATGCCACATTAAAGCTAGACTAAATATTGCCTTCTCAGATCCACCTCAGCCCCTTACTATCAAAACATACAGTTGTAAATGCAGTGCAAATGCATTTATGCCACCTCTGAGCAGCATTAAACAGTCTGTATAAAGACACCTAAATGCCACTTCAGAAGCAATTCTGTGCCACCTTTGCGGTGTAAATTTGGCATAGGTGTCTTACACAGACTGTTTAATGCTGCTCAGAGATGGCATAAATGCATTTACACAGCAATTGCAGCTTTATACAGTACTTTGATACTAAGGGGCTGAGGTAAGTAGGAGCATTCATAATTTAGTCTGGCTTTTATGCGGCACTGCATATTTACACAGAATTTTGAGCAGGCACAGAGCAGCCTTAACTCAGATGCCTGTTGAAGACAGCATCATTTTCTACCTACTGTTTGTAACAGCCTTCCTGTTAGAAATGTGCTGCAAAATCCTGTCCATGTAGTGAGGTCCTCTAAATAACACATCTTTACACAGCCGAGTTAAGGCTGCTCTGAGCCTGCTCAAAATTCTGTGTAAATATATAATGCCGCACAAAAGCCAGACTAAATTAAACTTGCTTCGAGCCACCTCAGCCTCTAGTATCAAAGCATACAGTTGTATTTGTATCTGTGTAAATGCATTTATGCCACCTTAAACAGGCTGTGTAAAGACACTTAAATGCCACTTCAGAAGCAGCTCTGTGCCACCTCTGCAATGTAAATTTGGCGATAGTGTGCTTCTCCTCTAATGTATCTTCTCCTACGACTTTATTCTGGTTTTGCATGACGACTTCAAAGTGCCAATCTTAAAGTCAACATTATCTCCAAAGGCCATGCATTATGTCTTAGCCTCTTCTTATTGGCCGTCATTGTGTTCTTAAAACTCTGAGAAATATGACTCATTGTCCTTGCTTGGTGGAAGAGCTCAAAGGAGATTAGGCTGTGACAGCATGGGGGGTGAGAGCTGTTCATCTGCGTGTGTGTGTTTGGAGTTTGGACGGCCAGTGTAAGGTTACTCTTCACTCAGTGTCTTTCCCTTAGGCCCCAGACAACTTAGTCTGAGCATGACCTCACTCCGTGGTGATGAGTACAAGAACAAGATAACAGAGAGACAGGCAGAGATACACTCAATCATAGCGTCCACAATCCCATCCAAGAGGGAAAACTGACTTCCAGTAACTAGCGGCCTGGGAGCAAGACAAAAATTTGGGGGTTGACGGGTGGAGTTGGCATGCCGTAAATACGCTCTCAGTAGGCACTGAGGAGGAGATGACAGTTTGCTGTGAAGGTCAGACTGCAAATGTGAGTCATAAGAAAGTTAAGTATGTTTAGGGGGGTGGTGTGATATTTTTGTTATTGTGGTAAGTCCAATCTGGTAAGACTTTTATATGTAGGTGTGATGGTAACCATATTTAGTTCATTCAGATTGGAAGACTTTAGCCTTTAAAGGTTAATAAAGCCATTTTAAAAGTCATTATGTTCATATCTGCCCTTAAATTAATAAACTATGGTAAAATGATTACCATATCCAAGTTGCTCAAAGTATCACTTGTAAAAACATTAACATATTACTAAATGAAAAAGGGTAGGCTACTAGATATAAAAGAAAATTAAAACCTGTATTGAATTATAAGTTACAATAAAGACATTTTATAATGTTATACAAGATATCCATTTCAAATAAATGCAGTTCTTTTTAACTGTTTATTCATCAAATAATTCTGAAAAAAATCACGGTTTCTACAAAAATATGAAACAGCACAGCTGTTTTCAACATTGATAGTAATATTAAATGTTTCTTGGGCAGCAAATCAGCATATTAGAAGGATTATGTGACTCTGAAGACTGGAGTAATGATGCTGAAAATTCAGCTTTGCATCACAGGAATAAATTACATTTTAAAACATATTAATATAGAAAACATTTATTTAAAATTGTAATAATAATTCACAATATTATTGTTTTTACTGTATTTTAATCAAATAAATGCACCCTTTTTGAGCATAAGACACATCTTTCAAAAACACTAAAAAGTCGTACAGACACCAAAGTTTTGAACGGTTGTGCGTGTTTGTATACGTATATCCACAATTTGATACATTTTGACAAAAACATTAAATAAATCAAAATTGAATTAATTTAAATAGGAAAATAAAAAATTATTAAGTATATACAATATGCATATGCATATATGCATTTCATTTATTCTGTGTAAACTGTTAAAAATATAGGCATGTAAAACAAACCTGCTCATGTAACTGTTTTCTTAGCTTTGGGTTAAACACGTACCTGCACTGCACTGTTGAGGAAGCAGCTGTTCTGTCCCGGCTCATTTAGTAGTCCCTTGGTAGGGGCCAAGGACAGCATAGATCCCGGCTGGTAAGACCTGCCAAGATTGCCTCCTGGTCTCCTGAAGAACTTGGCCCATGCCATTGGATTTGGGGTATCTGCCGTCCTGCGGATGAACAGGTATTTGTTGAGGTTTGAGTTCATTTCAAGTAATCAAAGATGGAAAAGGGTTGTTATGACAGATTAACTTGAAGATTTGAATGTCTGTTTCCTAGCAACGATTGAGTAAAAGCCTTTATTTCTGCTGCTAACCTGTATGTAAGAGGTTTCTTGGTGCGTATGTCCTAGACAGGACGGTTTGATCATTCCCTGAATTGGGTTGGGGAATTAGGCGGGTTGTTGGTGGCTAGTGTGGCCATCAGGCCTCGAGTGACTCGCAGCATAGTTACGAAGGTGTCAGCTGGAATCAGTCAACCTTTAAAGGGTCGTCCATGTTTCAGACGCTGCTCTTGGAGGACATCAGCCTTAGGATGAGTAGGATTCACTCTGTGGAGAGAAGCAAAGCAATGCATGAATTCTTGAATAGCATTTTAACATGCCCGCCTGAATTTTAACATTTCTGCATATTGAGACACTGACAACAGCACAGAACTCCATGTGATTATGAACACTTCCGTACAAATCACCAACGAGAGGAGTGGCTAAACATTCAAAACTGTGCAAAAGTCAGTAGGTCAGCTCATCCAACTGGTAATGCTGCGCTGAATAATGCTGTTATTGTTTAACTTTTTTTACGACTTTGCACCAACCTGTTTCTATGCAAGCAAACAAGCAAGCTGATGTTATCCAACAGGGACAGACTGACAAATGCACAGACTGAAAATATGCAAATGCAGCTACTTTGTTGCTTACACTTGAAAATCGGTATGATGTGTATCAAATATGGCCTAGCAATGCAAAGCAATGGCCTTGATACCTTAAATGTTAGGATGAGTCAATCTCGACCCGATAATGCTGCACTAAAGCATAGCTGTTAAGTCAGGTCATTTTCAAATATATAGTATATTCTGTCTGTAAATTGTAAATATTTCAAAGCAGCTTTACAGTAATAAACAGGAAAATATCAATGTAAATATAGCAAAAATAACCAATTCTAAAAATATTTAAATTTTCGCTGCAAGGTAGTTCCACACAAGACAAAAGTTTCCTTATTCAGCTCTATTTAGTTTTCAATGCAGCTCAATAACTGTTAGTGTTGCAAAGTTAATTAATTATTAAACAAATTAGATTCAGATATAAAGCAGCTTCATAGAAGACAATACGAATGCCATAATTCAGTTCAATTGAGTTGTTGTTGATTCAATTCAGTTCGATTACAGTGTCAGTTGTAATTCAATTCAGCTCAATAACGGCAAAGTTCACCAATTATAAAACAAAACAGGATTTAGCTAGAAGAAAATCTCCACAGAAGACAACATTGTCATTGTTTAGCTTTAACTGTACATAAGACAGTAGCAGCTCAATTCAGTTCAAGTTTTGCTCTCCTCCTATAAGTGTCAGTACAGTCAAATCAATAATATTGCTGAATACTTTTAAAAACTACACTGTTGTATAAACGACATCCTCCTTATTTTGTTTTGTCGTGCATCTTCATTGCAGGCAATGAGATCTATGACACCTGGATAAAGCTACCTGTTAGCAATCCCATTCATGTCTTAACAGACAGAGCAAAATCCATGTGGATTCTGGAAAGTCCCAGGTAGCATTTTTTTTGACAATGCGCCAGCACTAGAAATGGCTGACTCCCTTGGGCAGTGTACTTATTACTGAACTAGGGAGCATTCTGAAACACACCCATGGATCTGAAAGCATGCTATCCACCCTAACTGATGCATTAGAGGAGTTTTACTCAGAACTACTCACACAAAAATAAATTAAATCTCAATAATTTCACATTTTTGGTTGATGACAACTTTTTTTCTGCTTAGCGACTGAATGCAAAGTATATTCTTCATCATATAGTACGGTGTCCGAGAAGTGCAAAAACAAATCACAATTCTGAAAACAAAATAACAAATTACAAACGCAAATGCAAGTCTAAAAAACAAAATAACAATTCAGAAAACATTATAACAAGTCAGAAAACACAACGACAAATCAGACAAACCGGAAGAGGTAGGTATAGTTTGAGACAGCGCCATTGGTTTGGGATTACTCACAGCTGACTGGACGAGACATCTGTCAATCAACGTATACAGGGAAGAACCAGCCGAAGAACAGCAGAGTCGTGGTAGAAAGTTCGGAGATGGTATTAAAGTAGCTCAGTTTAAATGTATTGTATGAATTGCCCTTACTAGAGAATAAAAAATACGGAGTGTCTATTTACATTTAGTTAAAAGTGCCTGTAAATTATCAGCTCCAGTGGCGCAGATGGATAAATGTGTGTTGTTGGCTTCTTGACGCGATCGACCCGGGTTTGATCCCACCTTTTTTCCGAACTTTTTTTTCCTCCCTTTTCAAATCTCGTATTAGCAATGGATTCTATTTACACTAAGTGAAAAAAGCAGTATTTTTAGCAATATGCTATTTACACTAAGTGCAAAGACCTATTTACACCATGTTAAAATAGCAGGATTTCTACTATCAAGTATACTACTTGTTGCAAATAGTGGCAATTATCTGCACTTCAGTATTGTAGTACATTATAAAACAGTATGCAATAATAACGTATTGAGTGTAAATTATAATTTTAATTATTAAATGGATGCCACCTTACTGGTAACAATAAAGCCCTCCCTACACCTACCCTAAACCTACCCGATACTTTATTTT